CTAAAATAATCAAGTTGTTATTTCCATAGTTTAGAACAAGGAACCAACAGAAGTCAGGGCAAGAGACTTGCATGCAACAGTGTGTGTAACTAACATATGATTATGAACAAGTCACCGCCTTTCTGACCTTAATACCACTGTCTCAGAAGCGGGTACATTTGTCACTCCCATCCATCATGGTGTAATTGTCCAAATTATCATGTTATAAACTTGCCTGTAATCTCTTCTTTCTGCTACAACACTGAGCTCGCTATAGGTGTAGGACCTTAGTCCTCAGGAGCCAGGCTTTTGGAACAAACAGCATTGGAGGGCTTAGTGCTCTCAAATCCCACGGATAAATGGAAGTATCCTCAAAGAAGAGTGTTAAGAAAATTAAGTCAATGACATTATCTGCAGAAACTTCCAATTGCTCTGCCTCTGTCACCAGTACTCAGTGCTTGCTATGGCTGACTGACTGATATTTAGGCTTTCAGAATTGATAATAGGAAGGTTCACTCACAAACTGAAGGACGTACAAGCTGTTATACAGTGCGTTAACTGTCTTCAGGGCAGGATGTAACTAGCCTCATGAGTAAGAACACCAGAGCACCATACTTTAGCTTTAGATGATGCATAAATATTCAAAAACTCACCAATTCTTCCCTTCTTGTGAATGTGACCAGGCATGATACCAATTTTACATTCTCCAGGCTAAGGAAAGAGTGGGAGAAGTCAGATGGAACACTCAAACCATCACTAAGAACGGTTCAGCCTTGGAGCAAATCCAGAAGTCACTTACATTGATGACTCCAGGGCAGTTGGGACCCACTAGTCGAGTCTTACTTTGCCGAAGCAGTCTGTGTTTAACCCGAACCATATCCTGCTGGGGAATACCTTCAGTAATGCAAACAACTAAGGGCATTTCTGCATCGATCGCTTCATTGATCGCAGCAGCAGCAAACGGAGGAGGTACATATATAACAGTGGCAGAAGCACCGGTTTGTTCTTTGGCCTACAATGGACATAATAAAAAAGGTACTGAGTATTTAGTGGGGCTGAAGAGAACATGTGATAACTGGTTATTAAAATACATCCATTCACAGGCATAAATTAAGTAAATTGTTATGGATTAATTTACTATAATCCAGGGAAGTGTTAAATCCAGTGAAAATGGGATATACAGTGTGCAACTAAGGAGCTGAGAACTAACCACTGGCTGGATAGGATCTGCCCCTTGAACACCATCATAGAATCACAGACTCATAGAATGGTTTGGGTTGGAAGGGACCTTAAACCTCATCCAGTTCCAGCCCCTGCCACAGGCAGGGACACCTTCCACTAGAGCACGCTGCTCCAAGCCCCTGTGTCCAACCTGACCTCGAACACTGCCAGGGATGGGGCAGTCACAGCTTCTCTGGGCACCTTGTGCCAGTGCCTCAGCACCCTCACAGGGAAGAACTTCTGCCCAACACCTAATCTAAACCTAGCCTCTTTCAGTATAAAGCCATTTCTCCTTGTCCTACCCCCACATGCCTTGTAAAAAGTCACCCTCTGGATTTCCTGTTGGCTCCTTTAGGTACTGGAAGCTGCTCCAAGGTCTCCCTGGAGCCTTCAGTACTCCAGATTGAACAAGCCCAGCTCTCTCAGCCTGTCTTCAGAGCCTTAGGTAACAGTTAGCTAAAAATTCATCATACACACCAAGATCAGTGAGGAACTAGTTGCATGCATAAAATAAGTGTATCAACCTCACAGTGGAAGCCAAACTCATGGCTGACCACACTGAATGCTCCCACTTTTACAAGGCTTCTACTTCACTCCATGCACAGTGACATCTATGGCCTAAATGTCTCTTCAATGTAAGCAATGACATAAGAAGCCCGCCAGCAGCATCAAACTCTTTGCCCTCCAGTCACTGCTGCAAATTACCTCCTTCACAGAATTAAACACAGGCAGACCGAGATGAGTTTTCCCCCCTTTCCCTGGAGAAATTCCTCCAACTAGATTGGTGCCATAGTCCAACGCCTGCTGGCTGTGAAAGGTGCCCTATGAGAGAGAAAATAAGTAAAGTTAAAAGGCATGTAATAGCAAACAAAATGAACCACAAGCAGTTGTTGTTACCTGTAACTCTGAAGGCACTCAAATTTACAACAAGGGAAGCTTTCACTACATATATACCACCACTTATTTTAAAGAGTGTATCATGTTTTAAATGCATCCAGAATATGCTACGCTTTTTCTTTTAAATCAGAGCACTGTGGTTGCATACTAAAGTGATTTTGTTGTGTGTTCCTAATACACCTGCAGACTTAACAGCCACATTTTATTTCCCATATCAAGCCTGGCAGATGAACACTGTAATGAAATAAAAGAAATTTGCACTCTCATCCATGACTAGCTGAGAGTTGTAGTAAAAGCAGCCTTCTCCCCTTGCAAAGGTATAAAAGAGGGGATGTAAGAAAACTATTAAGTATCTTGAAATAAAAACAGAAACTTAACTAATAGGCATTGACATTCAAAAGCATTTGTGAAAGAGGCACTTCTAAAATGATAGTTTTTGTAGGTTCCTGCAAAACTCCTTTTACAAAGAAACCCTTTCAGGTGGATACAATAAAAAGGCTGAAGACCAGCAGGAAGAACAAGAAATAAAAGTAATACAATAGAGGTGACTCAAAACCAAGTTTTAAGCTTGTACACAAGTTAAAAAATACCTAGTATGACTGAATATGAGTGTCCATTTGGACCAGAGAAAGGAAACAACACTGCTGAAGGGACCTTCCTGATCATGATTTTCAGCTCCCCATCAACACAGTCAAAGTCAGCATATCATAGAGTCATAGAATGGTTAGGGTTGGAAAGGACCTTTAGATCGTCTAGTTCCAACGCCCCTGCCATGGGCACGGACAACTCACACTAAACCATCTCACCCAAGGCTTCCATTTTATAATCCATTTTATGTTATTACATTTTTCAGCCAACTAACTTTCTGAACTGAAAGGGTGACAGAAAAAATCCTTTATATACATACCTGTTTGCCTGTAAAACCCTGACAGATAACCTTTGTATTTTTGTTAACATACAGGTTTTTCCTTGATGCCGTGTAGGAGCAGTGTCGTACACCATTCTGTTGCACTGGAGAGAAAAAAAATGAGAGTGCAAATCATTAATTCACTGCTCTGTTAGTCAAAACCATCCTACGGAGTAAGTGAATATATATTAATGCTTATATCAAAAGATGAATTGATCCAGAAGCTCATATTCGGAAAAGCAGCTCTTAAAGCTGCATGCAGTGCTTGTCATTAAACACCCGCAGCTCACTCTATCAGTGTGATATAACAGTTTGCTAGGCGTCATAGAATGGTTTGGGTTGGAAGGGACTTTAAAGCTCATCCAGCTCCAATCTCTGCCATGGGCAGGGACACCTTCCACTAGAGCAGCTTGCTCCAAGCCCCATCCAGCCTGGCCTTGAACACCGACAGGATGGGGCAGCCACAGCTTCTCTGGTCAACGCGTGGCCAGGGCCGCAGCACCCTCAGTGATGAATTTCTTTCCTAATCAGGCTAGGTATTTCTCATATTGAGTACTTAATATCAGAATTCATCACAACAAACAACAGACAGAAACTTCTTAACCATTATTTTCATTTGCAAATGACCATTCTCCATCCTCTAAGAAACTCCACACAAAGTGACAACGCAGAACTAAAATCCCTATATCCCAGAGGCTGTTACAACATTGGTACCATGTTACACCTCCCATGAGTGTGGCACAGTCTATACTAGACAGTGAGAGGATACTGAAGAGGCTGACGATCCCTCAGGACAGGTGAAACCTAATGCCAAGCAAGACATCCAGCAGGAGACCTTTCTCCAGTGGATGCCTAGCCACAGGAGCCTGGGCATCACTTGGGCTTGTGAGGAAAGAGCTCACCAGAATGCTTCTGTAGAACGATTTTCAATGCAATTCTTACAGCTCTGATACTGAAACACAAAACATAACAACACAACTACAGAAAAAGAGCACAATGCATGCTGGTATCAGTGAGACAAGGAGAATGACTGCATCTCTGCTGAAGGGAAAGATGTGGACATCAAGTAATTAAAAAAAGTAATGCAGAGAATGTCACCGAAGCTTGAGATAAGGAGGAAAAAGAGGTCTTCTGGTATAAAAAGGATGCGCATGTTGCTTATATTCATGACCATATGCTTTTTCAAATACCAGAGTTTTGAGGGGATCAGAACTGATTTACTCCCTGCAAGTGTTTTCAATAAAAACAGTGTTTTGTGCTTAGAGTGAATACAGGAGGGCCCAATCCTAATACAGAAACTGACACCAGAGCACTACTTAATACCTCTTCAGCTCCTTTAGAACACTACCACTTCAGATTTAAGGAAGTAAAAAGTGAAGTTGAAGCAAAAAAGATTCTGAATCCTGCTCCCTGGACTGTTCCACGTACTTACAAAGGAGGGATTTTTTCTATTTATAAACATTTTGTAACAACATAATTTCAAAGGGGTATTTAAAAAGTGCAGAACATTTAAGATCCATGTATACGCGTTTCTACCACAGCACTCTTCCGCAAGTACTTTTGCCAAGTAAATTTTAATGATACGCTGCTTTTATGCTTTAATTCTATTCCAAAAGAGTGAGAAGGAAAAACAAACCATGCCAGACGAAGCCTACAAGCAACAGTGCTACTGCTAAATCTAAAGTCTTTACTCTGTTCTTAGAAAACACTGACAGCAGAGCGCTTCAACTCCAGCCACCTCCTGCTGTTCTTTGAGGAGCTGTAGCAGCACCTCATCTTCTGACCAACATAAAGGGAAATTCAGCTAGATTTTAAAGAGAAATGTATGGACAATCATGCAGCAAACTTGTAACACAATTGGTGAAAGGGTATGCAGGGTTTTAACCCAAATCACATCTTCATCCAAGAAGAAATACAGAGCAGTAACGCATAAAACATGTCTGAAGGTAAAATAATGAATAGGGTGATGAGGCTGGCTGTGCAATGGTAGAGAAAAGTCTTGCTACAGCTACACAAGACAGCACAGTATGGTCTTCGTACTTGGCCAACACCTCAGCCTTTCCAGGCAAGCCTGCAGTGCCCTGAGCTGCAACACCAAGCCATTCAAACGCATAACTGGCAAACAGCAGCCTGCCTCCAGCAGAGGGGACACAAAAGAAGCAGAGAAACATCTGGGCTGCTGGTTAGGAGAGCAGGGCATCAGTTTACCTGATCCCAGCCATCCAGGCAATCTCTCCTGAGCATGAGATGAGACCAAGTGAAACCCAACCTTGAGGAAAGCAGGTGATGATCCCCTTTGTAGAAAGGACATGGAACTGTTAGAATAAGTCCAGAGGAGGCCACGAGGATCATCAGCAGACTGGAACACCTCCCGAATGAAGACAGGATGAGAAAGTTGGGGCTGTTCAGCCTGGAGAAGAGAAGGCTGCGTGGAGACCTCTGAGCAGCCTTACAGTATCTGAAGGGGGCCTATAGGGATAATGGGGAGGGACTCTTCATTAGGGACTGTAGTGATAGGACAAGGGGTAACGGGTTAAAACTGAAACAGGGGAAGCTTAGATTGGATATAAGGAGGAAATTCTTTCCTGTGAGGGTGGTGAGGCACTGGAATGGGTTGCCCAGGGAAGTTGTGAATGCTCCATCCCTGGTAGTGTTCAAGGCCAGGCTGCACAGAGCCTTGGGTGTCACGGTTTAGTGTGAGGTGTCCCTGCCCATGGGAGGGGGGTTGGAACTGGATGATCTTAAGGTCCTTTCCAACCCAAACCATTCTATGCTTCTATGATTCTATGACAACATGAAACCCAACCCTGAGGAAAGCAGACGATGATCCCCTTTGTAGAGATGGAGATGTGACCAAGTGAAACCCAACCCCGAGGAAAGCAGAGGACGATCACCTTGAGAAGCTGCTACAGCAATGACCTACCAACAGCAATGCTTTGCAGGACACCCAATGGACTTCCAGAAGTGCATGTTTTGAAAGCCCTCTGATGTGCCTGCAAAGGCAAAGAATAGGCAACACTAATTCAAATCTGTATTTTACACGTAGTGTCTGTGCTACACCTTTCTCTTTATCATAAAAGCAACTCTACAGGCCCAGTTCAGCTGTCCATTCCACATCTATTTTCAGATATTTATAACCTTGCACAAATATGCTTCTGAAAGCTCAATTTTGTCAATTCTCGGTTTTGAAAAGACTATAGAAATACATTTTTCAAGGATAAAAAGCTCTTGAGCATTTTCCACGCTATCAAAGTACCAAAAAAAAAGGGGGAAAAAGGCACTGGTGACTAAAAGATTAAATTCTACAGAGCTTTGTATGGATTTACTCTTGAAATTTGTATGTACCTCTTATGTTACTGAAGAGTCCTGGTTCAGATAAAATAGGGCTGGTTCAAAAAAGATTGGCTATAGGCTTGAGCTGTTTACGGTCTTGAGAGAGGCAGTTTAGCATGGACACGCATTTATGAAGCAATATATTTAAGATATATACATATGCATATCAACTTGCATTGTGTGAGTGGGGGGGGGGGGGGGGGTGTTAAACTGACATGACACAGCTCTGTGTTTCTGCTCATAGCTCTTGTCTGAAGCAGAAAGGTTTGCCCAGTTATCAGCACAGCAAGGGCATCCATCGGTCAAGAAGTTCTGCTCTCCATGGCACAAACAGCAAGTCCTGGGTACAAACAGCTGGCTATTTAAATATTAAGAGGGATACAAGATGAGAAAGAAACAGGTGGGAAATGAAAATGGCATGCCTAAGTTCACAGCAGATAAGAGCCAGAAATAGAACCCAAGTTTCAGTTTCAAGCCAGGACCTTCATTCACCAGCTCATGCCACTTTACAGTGTCCAACACCCGTTCACACAATTGCTTTTCCTAGGCTGAATCTGGGTGCCCAAGTGTAAAAGCATGTTGCTAGAACCAGACAGGAGGAGAAAAAAGGAAAAATACAAAAAAAAAAAAGAAGGAAAAAAAAGTTGTTGTTCTTCAGCCATGAACCAGTAAAAGCCAAACTCACTGCTGATGCTATTTTAATGCACACGTCTAAATTACAGGCCAAGTGACAAAGGTGCAGGCTCCAGATGAAGTCCTAGAGCATAAGGACAAGTCTTACCAACCCCAAATCAGCGAGAAAATGCTTTATTTTGTCATATCAGAGTTCTGACATAACATTGCTGTGTCCAACAAAGGCCTGTTATAGACTTTTAGTAAAGAGTGGATAATCTTTCTCAGGCAATCCTTTCACTTCTGCCCCATCCCTGTTCTACTTTGTGTGCTTTGTGGTATTAAAGGAGTTCTACGAACAACAAGATGCATTTATCTTGGCTTTCCAGTACTTTAGCTTCTACGTAACTACAAGCAAATGCACTGTGGCAAGAACCTATTTTCATCTATTGTACAGGACAACCAAATAGATATGAAAAGTGCTCAAATACCAAAACCCTGTTGTCCCAAGACAGGCTTGAAAAGGAAGAGCTAAATTTAGCAAAGGGGTATGAGACTGTATATCAAACATTTTCCAGCAAAGAAACCTTGGAAGAAACTAAGAGACAGACAGGCTGATGGTAGTTGCTCTGGCATTTCCAGGGAACAAGGCCTCAGCACAGCCCAGAGCTCTCTGCAATACAGGAGGAAAATGCACCTACATTTGCTTCTAAGAGAAACCCCACAATCTGCAGCTCTGAGAATGGCATTAACTTGTGCATTACAATTAAATAGCCTGAAAGCCATCCTATTATTTATAATGAAGTCCAAACATGAATTTACATGTTACTACGAAATCTGACCCATCCACAAGCTATTTTAAAGCACTCATTGAATGTAAATACTGTTTACACTGAGCTTTCAGGCAACCCTTGAGCAGCAGGCACTTCCCAAGCACAAATCTCATTTAAAACATACAACCCAAGCTATATTTAACAGAAACACAGAATAGTTCAGCTTGAAAAGGACCTTTAAAGGTCATCTAGTCTAACCTCCAGCTTATTTAGGTTGTGCAAGCCACACGACAGTACAGATATTCAAGGCTAAACCTCTTCTTCACTGAAACTACCTGTTATTTTCAGGACTTCTTGCAAGACTTCCTAGAGCTATGGACAGAAACCCAACAAAGTGCCTCCCTCTTACCCACATTTATACCAGCCCACCCCAAAAAGCAAGCAGAGTTTGAAAGCTGAGCTAGCATTTGAGGGTGCTCAATATAAAAGCAAGGGGAAGCAGCAAAGATTCCTTTCTAGGAGGACCTGAGTGAATACCTACGTTGCTACTTTTCAAAGTAACAAGTGAAATTCTTCCTTGATTACTCCCTGAAATAACCAGGGAACTTGCAGATGAAGGGAAATACTTTTCATTTCCATTACCTATGTCAGGAAAGCAGAAAGCCTTAGAAATCATATAGGCTCCAATACAAATGGGGAAACTGGAGGCTCTGGGGAAAACCAGGGAAGGATTGAGGTCTAAAAAGCTCTACTTAAAATGCCAAGAAGTCTATTTTCCACACACAGATTTCCCCCCTTCCCTTATTTTCCACCAATTACAGTCCTTCAGTTTATTTCTGAGAAATCCTGTCAATATTTTGTACATGTTCAAGTTGCATTATTCTGATCATCTCCTTTCTTCTTCCTCCACCTACAAAATCACGGCCTGAAGAGGACAGAACAGAACCAGTTCTGGACAGCTTCTGACATTACTGAAGAGTAGAGACACTTAAAGTCTGGCAAAGACCAAAGTGCTGCAGGAAATGTCAGAGTTTAATGACAAGAAGCTTGATATTAACAAGAACATTCCACAAGGAGTTTCCCACCCTAGTTCTTCATTAGGTTTTAGTTGTCATTATCAGGCCGTATGTTCACACACAGTTATGTCTGAATAATTCCCTCCCCTCCCCAAACCATTTTACAGAATTCAGCCATAAAGACAGCGGTTACTTTAGGAGAAGCTGATCCTTATTCACAAAGAGGTTTTCATGCTGCTGAGGGATTGCTCAGAATATTTGACTCTTTGGATTAAGAGGATTATGTGCTCAGAGGATTTCCAGGTATCGCTCCCTGGCCTCTCTCTTCTCATGTTTCTCTTGCCAAATTCCTGTTAATTTTGGAAACTCCTATCTATGAACATGGTAGGAACTGAGGAATTTAATTAATCAGGCTGGAAAGGACAGATGCAATGACTATGCTACACCTACCACATTGAAACAAAACTGGAACTAATAGGAAATGACATTCAGAGAAAAACAGCCCTTTCAACACTCCTCTCTTTCCTAATCAAAAATCCCCCACTCCTTGCACCTTTGCTCTGGAGACAAGACGAGAGCTGGACTTGTTCAGCCAGAAGACAAGGCTCTGAGGAGAACTTACAACAGTCTTCCAGTGCTTAAAGTGGATCAACAAGAAAGCCGGAGAGCAGCTTTTTACAAGCGTGTGTAGTGGCAGCACAAGGGACTTAAACTGCCTTAAACTGACAGAGGGAGGAGTCAGATTAGATATTAGGAAGCAATTTTTTACCATGTGAGGGTGCTGAGGCGCTGGCACAGGGTGCCCAGAGAAGCTGTGGCTGCCCCATCCCTGGCAGTGTTCAAGGCCAGGTTGGACACAGGGGCTTGGAGCAAGCTGCTCTAGTGGAAGGTGTCCCTGCCTGTGGCGAGGGACTGGAACTGGATGAGCTTTAAGGTTCATTCAAACCATCCTATGATTCTACTGCAATGGTCATCATCGGCTACAGGGTCCATAGAAGACACAATGGCATGTTAAAGAACAGCTTTCTCCCAGATCTCTGAAGCTGGAACAAAGTGAAGCACCTCAGTGAAATTGCAGGTCCTTGAGGAAATAAATATGGTCTTTACAGCACAAATCAACTATTTCTTGTAACCAGCAGACTGTTTTTCCCCATACCTACCCCACTAAGAACATGTGAAGCTAAAGGGCTGCGAGCTTCCCTCTTTCTACACTGCTGACATAGAAACAACCAACAAATCCTTCAGGTGGGATTGTTATTTCTGCAGCAATTCTTTGCCAGGGTTATTCACATAATTTACTGTAATCTTCTAATCTGCAAGCTCTCCAAAGATTTCTAACATGCTCAGAACATAAAATCCTTAATCCTGACTCTTCCAATCACAGCTAAAGTGCCCATAAAGACTTCTCAAAGTGTGGTATAGCCCAGCACAGGTCTTGCTTGACTCTGTCCATATACAATCAGTGCTCTGAACTGACCTTTGAGCAAGCACTGACATACTTCATACTATGTTTTCACAACTTCCTGAACTGAACCTTAGGGATACACGTCCTGCATGTTTCCTTCAGAATCAACAAAACCAGATATTGCATCTCTTGCAACAGAACACGCTAGAAACTCGTGCTTTTAAATCACCAAGGGAAGCAGATATTAAGTATTTACTACTAAAAACATATGTACAAAGTCCAAATTTAAGGCTTTGTAAAGAGTATCAAACTAACAAAGGTTTCCAATGAAGAACTATTTCATCTTGCAGGGTTTCTTTAAGACATGAACTGTTGCAAACAGAACACTTCTTGAACCACTTACACTACTACTTCTCCTTTACACCCCCCAAGTCATTTTAAGCAGTCTTCCCTGAATACTGCTACTTCTAAATGGAATAACATGAGGTTTTAAACACATAAAACTGCACCCAAGAGTAGCTTTGCTACATTCCCATCTGTTCCCCTCCCTCAGAACCCATTCTTAGGGGAGTCAATTCAAAGAGCTGACCTGGCAGAACTTGTACAGTAAGAAAATACAGCTTTCTGCTCATGGAGGACAAGAGGTAGGAATGGATACCTCAGGGGATGATGGTAGGTATGCCACAGGAACAGCTCAGCTTACAGTGCTGTCGGATCACATTAGTAGACCCAGACCTGTAAGTTACCATCACACCTGGACAAAACACAATGTGCGCAGCAAAATGAGGTAGGTTTAAGTTTGCCCATGCAGTCTTAGCTGCAAGAACTACGATTAATGCACCAATCCCTCAGTTCAGATCCCAAGAAACTGCTCTTGTGCCTAGGCATACCCATACTGGTTTCAGTAGGAGATGCAGCTTTAACTACACAAAAAAGCACACTGAAAAGGGAAAACAAATAAAAAGGCATTTTATTTTTATTGTTATCTTCAGAATGGCACATATAAAAACTTCCAAGCTGAAACAGGAGTCTCAGACTGCCCCTGTTAACAACTAAAGGCAAACAGCCTTATCCTTGACAACAAAACCAACTTTACCAATGTGTACTGCAACCACAG